TCTCTGTTCTGAAAAAAATCCTATTTGTTTCACCATGTCTGTTCTTAAACTGATTCTTGATTGGGAGGGTCTACTTTCATTCAATGAAAATAAACAGTGAAAGTAGACCCTCCCAATCAAGAATCAGTTTGAGAAAGGACATGGTGAAACAAACAGGATTTTTTTCAGAACAGAGAAAGAAAAGGAACTGCCAGATGATGATCAAAACAGAATGTGGCAACAGTAGAAACTAAGGGCTCATGTATACGGGGTGTTTGGAAAACTCTTCTGACCACTGGAAACTGACTGCTGGAAATTGTCAGTTTCGCCGCATTTGCATTTGCGTTTATTTGCGTTTATGCATGTTTGTGTTTAGAAGCGTTTTTAAAAGATAACCTCAGTAGACCCTCCCAAATGCCCAGAATGCACTGAAAAATAGTAAATACTTAACTATTTCAGATATTTTGAGTGTACTTTCTGATTGCATTCACTATGGATCCCATCATGAGCATAATGCGGCACATTCTACCATTTTTTCCTTCACGAGAAACCAGGAACTGACTGCACTGGTGTACTAGGTCAATTTGAATACATAGAAAAGACTTTGCATGCATTTTTGATGAAGAAATAAGACTCTGGACAGCATCTGGATATGGACCTGTCAAAAAAAGCGTTGAAATGCAAACACTTGTAAACGCGGTTAACAAGCGTTTGGCGTTTGAAACGCTGATAAAATCTACTCCTGAACGCAATTTTGGTGCGTTCAAGAAAACGACTGTAAACTTAACTGCCTGTAAATGACTATGTGTACATGGACACATATGAAAACGTAAAGGAAAGTTCAGGGGCTGCTGAAAAAAATGTTCAACAGCTCCTGAACGTCGGTTTAGCAGCTGCAGTGTACATGAGCCCTAAGAGCAAAAAGAAAATGAGTCCTCACATTTTGATCCCGAATCTTCTTAAGGATATGTGGGATAAGGAGGAGAGGAGACCATCTGCAGCAGAGTGAGGAGGAGAGTGAAGCTTACAATACATTACACCTACCCGAGTTAAAAGGGAAAGTAGCTATTTGACCAATGCAATTTGGGTCATAGAAGGAGGTGAGAGTATATATGTATGTCTCTGGTAGAGGAGCACCTCTAAGAATATATGTGGACACAAGGAAAAAGGAGCACCTGTTTGGCACAAAGTTCTATATGCATGGATAAAATCATATATGACGGACTATAAGTTGTGGTTATTATATTCACAAGTGTTTAAATCACATGTTTTTTGATGTACCTAGGAGACTGTGTACAGTATATAGAGATATATGCGAGGCACTAATATAAGATCCACTCACTCCATATACTGTTCCACATAGACTGTTATATGATCGTTCAGCACCAGCACACTCTGCCAAATAAATAATATATCCAAGATGAAGGTATGATAGAAAAAAAACAGATGGCTGTTTATTTAGTGAGAGCGGTGATTGCTGATTGCATTGGAAAAACATGAACCTGCAGAGGTGGGCAGGAGCAATCTCCTGGAAGGGGAGGGCAGGTGCAGGGCGTGTTTTTGAGGTCAGCTGGTGAACTCCTTCCTGTGTTTGAAAAGTTTTCCCAACCTAAGGGCTATCCAGGAAGTTTTCTATACAGCATGCTGGAGGTTTCAGGTAATGCCTGGCCTAGGACATATAGAAAGCTTATTCTTTTCTGCAAAAGAGGCACATTAATGCTAAACTGATACATAGGGAAGCTGAAAAAAGTGAACTTACCCTTTAAAGGCAGAGTCCTCTGTAGAGAGGTTCAGAAACTAGTTATGGTGTCTGTTGAACTACAGTATATTGTACATTCTTTAGCAGGCAAAACAGTTCACATATAGTGTATGTATTTCAGCAGTTCAGCATGCACTAAGAAAATCAGTAGTTCAAGTGTAATCTGCTCCTCACCTTTGTACATCCATGACAGGTGTGCAGGTATATTCAGGTGGATAATATGGTGGAGGTGGAATAGGTGGAATAAACTCATCAAAATCCAATGTCTGGTGAAGGATTGTTCCATGAGCCATCATACAGTCCATACTGGTGGCATGTCCTCTGTGTGGTAGAAACTTAAAAACAAGACATAGAATCAACATTATACAGAGAACATAAATGTAATACTATATATGTCATTTGTTATTTGTGTATGAAGCATGCTCCCTTCCGGTGTACACTAAAAATGTAATATTGACATTTAGAAATGAATTTAAGAAAAAGTCAAATAGCAGAGAAGGTCCTCAGAATGTATTACAAATATCTACTTCATAATATATGTCGTTTTGTTTTCTGTTTTCCCATATAAGTCAGCTTAATGATAAAAAACAGCTAAAACTACTGTCATAGCCATACTGAGAGAAACATAAGAATGCAGCATTCAGTTTTGTCTATTTTGTTAACCCCGCTGTCAATAAAGTATATAAACACATCCTGGCATAGAGCAATAGTATACGTAAACAGTTAGATCTTTGTAGGTATGGCCAACGTTTGCTGTAGTCTCTAGGGTGGATATACTAAAGGCAAATAGACATTTTGGAAGTGCAGTTGCACTCATCTCCCCCCTTACTTTGGTAAAGCTTCACTTTGTAAAGACTATCCAATCAGGTGCAGGGAAATGCTGTTTTTCTTCTTTTTCCTTGCACCTGATTGGATATTCCTTACAAAGTGAAGTTTCACCACATTCATGAAAATGAGTGCAACTACACTTCCAAAGTGCAGAGTATATTTGCCTTTAGTAAATCCACCCTCTGTTTACTTGAATGATGAAATAATAAAACAATGATACAAAGGTTTTACCATACCTCCCAACTTTGGAACTTGGAATGAAGGACACCTAGGGATGGAAAAAATATGCAGAGCGCACTGGGAAAAAATAGACATGGCTAGAATGCGCTATATATTGAGGTGACTTAAATAGAGTCTATAGCGGTATTAAACCCAAAAGCAAGCATTTATTATAGTTCAGCTCTCCAACTCTAAGATGTGATGACTGCATTAGCTTTCTTTTTTAGACTTTCTTCTATTTTTACCTGGTGATACAGCCAGTACCTCTGTTGTTTTTCAAAAGAACAAGCTGTCCTGCAGATGTAGCAGTTAGAGTGATGCGACAAACCTTTTACCACTGACAGGGGTGCTTACAATGAATAGCTTTTATTTATTTAAGTAAGACCTTTATCCTAAAAGAAAAAAATCTGCTTGCTGTAACTGCTTATAAAGTGTTAATGTATCTAAATCTGCTAGGGAAAAAAGCCTGAAAAAAAGAAAACTATCACAGCCACCACATTTAATGAATGATAAGCTGCAATATATTGCATTTTTGATTTTGGGATTAATACTGATGTAAGCCTACATATGGTATATACCAAGGGCGGACTGACAACTCATGGGGTCCCCCGGGCAATAGGGGATCATGGGGCCCCTGTGTCCTTGCCCAAACGCAAAAAAGCCTATGAAAAAGGTACCAGGGGCATCTCATGGGGCCCCCTACTGACCCTGGGCCCTCGGGCAGTGCCCAAGTTTCCAAATGGTCAGTCCGTCCCTGGTATATACTGTACACAGTGTGCAGTCCTTGTACTCACAAAATACGCCCTCATTTCTCTGCTATAAGTCAGAGGCTCACTGATATAAACTGGCAGGTAAAAAAAAAACAGTTCTGCCATGTATACTCTCAGATACAGTCAAGGGCTGAGGTATACTTAGTTGACCTTTATATTGGAATCTCCCCTTCACATCAGAATTCCCCCCTTTCACATCTGTTGTTCCCCTTCACATTAAAGTCCCCCCTTTCTCACCATGAGTATCCTTCTTCACATCAGTATTTCTCCCTTACATCAGAAGACCCCACACATCAGAAGTCCCTTCATCAAATTAACAGTCCCCCTTTCATATCAGGATTTCCTCCTTTCACATCAGAGTCCCCTGTTCACCTGAGGATTCCCATCTTCACATGAGGAGACCCCCTTTTCACATCAGGAGTTCCTCCTTCAAATGAGAGCCCCAGACCCTTCACATCAGAGTTCCCTTTTACATCAGGAGTCCCCTCTCAAATCAAGAGTTTCCCCTGTACATCAGGAGGCCAACCCTTTACATTTTGAACCACCCTTCAATTCAGGTATTCCTCTCTCACATCAGAGTCCCACCTTCACATGAGGAGTCCCCCTTTTCACATCAGGAGTTCCTTTCCTTCAAATGAGAACCCTACACCCTTCACATCAGAGTTCCCTTTTACATCAGGAGTCCCCTCTCACATCAAGAGTTTCCCCTGTACATCAGGAGGCCAACCCTTTACATTTTGAACCACCCTTCAATTCAGGTATTCCCCGCTCACATCAGAGTCCCACCTTCACATGAGGAGTCCCCCTTTTCACATCAGGAGTTCCTTTCCTTCAAATGAGAACCCCACACCCTTCACATCAGAGTTCTCTTTTACATCAGGAGTCCCCTCTCACAGCAAGAGTTTCCCCTGTACATCAGGAGGCCAACCCTTTACATTAGGGAACCACCCTTCTATTCAGGTGGTCCCCTTTCACATCAGAGTCCCCCTTTACAACAGGAGTCCTCTCTTCACAAATTAGAATCTCTCTTCACATCAGGCCCTGGGGGGGGGGGGGGTGCATGAGGGGGGGAGGGGTGTTCCAGGGATATGAATTAAATAGATAGGGGCTGGGACAGGGATCCTAAGCTTAGAATGTAGACAGCTAAAAGGGAAATACTGCAGGCTGGATTACAGTGTTAAAGTGTTACTAAATCCAGGACCTGCATTCACTATATCTGGTCTCCCACAGTGCAACATGCAAAATCCAATTATTTTAATAAATATAAATTGCTAAATATCTTTTCTTATCAGCAGTTAGAGCAGTCTTGTGACTTCTATCAGTGTCCAGCAGAGCACTGGATAAAGCTTGTAGAAGGCGTTCTCATTCTCTCCTGATTGTCCTATGAGGCTGCATCACCCCTGACCCTCTGTCTGGACAGTGCTGATTGGCCTTGTGCTGATTGCATGCACTTTCCCCCCCCAAAAAAAAAATTCTCTAGCAATAAACACCAAACTGAGCATGTGCAGTTTGCAGATCCAAGGATCTGTTCTATCACCAGATGGATTGGGGACAGTAGAAGGGGAGGATCAAAGAAGACAGGATCAAACAGCCTTTTTACTCAATGTGGAGGATTAACCCCCTAGCATACTTTACTGCATATACAGACTGATTTTACTGTTGTGGGTTTAGTAACACTTTAAGTGGAGGGAGTTGGGCTGTGGACCAGGAGAAGTATCTGGGGAATGGAGAAATTTAGCAGGAACTACTGGTGGAGAAAGGGAAAATGCTGGTGACTGAACTAGAGTGCCTGTTGGTGGGAAAAGGAAGTAGGCATCTAATGATGAGAAAATGGAGGTCTGGTGTGTCAGGACAGGGAGCGATTGATGACTGGGAAGGGGAGATGTGTATTAAGCCCCATACACATGAAGAGAATATTTTACGAATGATCGTCCATTTTTTTTTGCATGCTAGTCTCATATTGAAAATGAAGAGGTTATTAAAGTTACAAAAATTCTTCTGCGACAGAAAGAAAATTCAAAAGAGATGTAATGCATTTGTATTGTATTTTTGGATGAAAACAGTACTGTTTAAATGAAAATCGTACGATTTGTTATCGTACAAGAAAAATGTTCGTGCTTGTCCCTTCTAATTAATTTCAGACCAAAGCTGTGTGCTAACGATCAGATAATTGTACGATTGCTTTGAAAGTGGTATTTTTTGTACGATTTTCTGATCATGTGTACTAGGCTTTAGGATCAGAGATGCTGCTGGTGGGGGAGGAGAGCGGGAAAACAGAGCTTCAGGACTAAAGTCGCTGATTGCAGAGAAAGAAGTAGCTGGAGCTGTTAGTTGCAGGGAAGGAGAAGAGGAGAGCAGAAAACAGGTGTGATGGGATGGCAGGGAGGAGAGAATGTATAGACCAAAGGAGAATCAATGAGCTGGACTGGAGAGGAGAGCTTGTGGAGGACTGTGTAGGTGCAGCAGGAGCAGAGAGATCACCAACTCGTCAGATGTCGAAGAACCAGTATGTCATGCAATGGATGTTGGCTCCCAGAATTGGAAATGAAAGCGGTGTGAGATACTGACAGACAAATGTGGAGGCAGGGTTATATTGTATGTCTGGATCAGGGGCGGACTGACCATTTGGAAACTTGCGCACTGCCGGAGGGCCCGGGGTCAGTAGGGGGCCCCATGAGATACCCCTGGTACCTTTTTCATAGGCTTTTTTGAGTTTGGGCAAGGACACAAGGGCCCCATGATCCCCTATTGCCCGGGGGGGGGCCCCATGAGTTGTCAGTCCGCTCCTGGGCTGGACCAGGGTGTTCTGATGTGTTTGAGATCAGTTGCAGGGATTGTGAATTGGAGGTAAAAAATGGAATATTGTAAAACACAGAAATTATGGCAAAAGATGAAGAGAGAAAAAAAATGGCTGTCATTTCTCCTGCCTTGTATCTGCTGCGCAGGAGAAGAGTGAGGGGCAGTGGAGGTGATGCGGGAAAATGCTCAGCTAAGTGGTACTGCGGGACATATATCAAAATCCAGGGCTGTCCACACAGAATCCGGGACTGTTGGGAAGCATGGTTTTACTGTTAAAGTCAAAATATCTACACCACAGCATGTATTTTTAAAATATATTTAAAAAGACTGCATTCAGGTAAGGTACCGGGTATCCCCACTACCCCCAAGTCATAGTTTTACCCAACCCAGGACAGTTTAATTGGAGAGAGCTAAATTTGAAACCTTTCCACCAAACACATAGGTTCCCATATGAAAGTTTAGCATCCTTATAAATGACCTTTGTTGTCAGCACTTTGTTGCATTCTATTTAGGTGGGTGATCATTTAATTTACAGACATGATACAGCTTATCACCCTAACTGGTATTATCACAAATTATCCTTGCATCTTTTAAGCAGTATCAATACAGCCTCATTATCTATGCTCCAGCAATCAGAATGACGCCCATCAATCCATTCTATTCCTTTTCTTCAGCCAGTTCTCTAATGTGAGTGTCAGAGGAGCAGAGACAAGACAGTGATGCTGAGGAACACTTTCAATTACATGGAAAAACAGTAGACTAATGAGCCCGTTAGAATGTCAAACCAGTACATGACTCAACAGGGACCGTTCTGGGGATCAAATGATGTAGAGACCCTTTAACCCCTCTTCTTGTGCTGTGCTAAAGAAAAACCACAGCTAAAGCCAATCGAAGAAAATTGTGTCTCTATTCCTCCCTTAGGCAAGGTTCTGTTGTCATGTCGTTTTCCCTGGATCTCTAGCAGCCTGGCTCTTTAATTCTTGCCTCTGGAAAGAACTGAGCTGATAATATTTGCTGAAGGCACAATTCTGTATTGTGCTTGAACTACTAAGTTCTTGTTTGTGCTGATGTCTGCTTGCATTACTGTGATCTACAGTCAATCTGAAAAAGACATAAGCAGAATATTGCACTTGTGGTTTTCTGGAGGTTGCAGTTGTGTACCGCACATTAAAACAGTTGGAAAAATAAGACTTTCTATTTAGAATTCTTATGGTGGCATGGTAATTAACAGTGAAGGTTTGTCATGCTGTGGTCCTGGGGTGGAATCATTCCAGAGAGTTATCTGGCATTTTCACATTATTTCTGTGTATTTGTATATTTATGGTCTGGCAATGAACCAGTAACTAACTGGCTACTGTAAAAATTCTCTACAAGATTGATGTGTTAGAATATTAGAAATAAAAACTCCCCATCCATTCCCCATACATTTGACATACACTACGTATTTATATATGTGCAGCAGTTTCTTACTGAAAACTGTCCCTACACAACACATCCCTGCTCTTGAAGATGACAACGATCTCCTTGCCATACAGCCTTGAATCATACATGCTAGGGTTATAGGCAAGGTAGGAAGTCAATCAACCTTCCTATGTGACTTTAGAGCAGGGGCGGACTGACAACTCATGGGGCCCCCGGGCAATAGGGGATCATGGGGCCCCTGTGTCCTTGCCCAAATTCAAAAAAGCCTATGAAAAAGGTACCAGGGGCATCTCATGGGGCCCCCTACTGACCCTGGGCCCTTGGGCAGTGCCCAAGTTTCCAAATGGTCAGTCCGCCCCTGCTTTAGAATATAGGTGGAATCTATATCATTTTGAGAAAGCTCACGATAAGGGTTCATGTACACTTCAGCTGAAAAACTCACGTTCAGGAGCTTTTCTGCTTTTTTTTCAGCAGCCCCTGAACTCTCCCTAATTTTTTCCTATGTGTCAATGTACACTATGTCGTTTACAGTTGTTTTTTTGTTTTTTTTTTTAATGCACCAAACTTGTGTTCAGGAGTAGATTTTATCAGAGTTTCAAATGCCAAATGCTTGTAAACGCGGCTAACCGCGTTTATAAGCGTTTGCGTTTAGAAGCGTTTTTTCAACTGTTCCATATCCAAATGCTGTCCAGAGCCTTTTTTCATCATCAGAAATGCATGCAAAGTGTTTTTCCATGTATTCAAATGGACCTAGCACACCAGCACAGTCAATTCCAGGTTTTGCGTGAAGGAAAAAAATGGTAGAACGTGCTGCATTATGCTCAAGATGGGATCCATAGTGAACACAACCAGAAAAGATAGGTAATCTCAACACATACTGCTCTCTCTGCTTCTGCTCTCTCTATTTCAAATGTCTGAAATAGTTAATTTTTTACTGTTTTTCAGTGCATTTTGGAAGGTCTCCTGAGGTTATCTTAAAAAAACGCTTCTAATTGCAAACGCTCATAAACGCACATAAACGCGGTATGCAAACGCTGTTAACAGACGTTTTTTTAACCTACGTTTTCCAGCAGTCAGTTTGCATCATTCAGAAGTGATTTTCCAAACGTCCCGTGTACATGGAGCCTAACAGGTTCTTAGTGGGAATCAAACTCAGGTAACCAGAGCTGGCAGCCCACAGTGCCACAATTAAGGCACTTACTTTTTTAAAATTTAATTTACATTTTTTTTCACACACACATTAAAATCATAACTTTTTGTTAGAAAATTACTTATAACCACCAAAAATTATATATTTGTGAAAGCAGAGGCCTTAAAGAATAAAATGTGGCTGTTGCCATTTTTTATGTCACAAAATATTTTATCAAATGCTAATTTTCTGAAAAAAACACACTCAAATACATTTTTGTGCGCACAAACATAATATAATACCCATTTGTTGTAAAATATAAACGCTGAAGTTGCATGGAGTAAATAGATACCAAACATGTCAAGACTCAAACTTGCGAGCACCTGAGAAATGACAACAAACTACGATACCTAAAATTGTTAACAGGCAACGATTTAAAACAAGTGCATTAACAGGTTATTGGCGTAGAGTTAATGAGGAATAATGGTCCTAGAATAATTGCTATCACTCTGATATTTGTGGTGTTACCTCATATGTGTAGTGTGTTCGCTGCAGGACCTATGTACGCATTTGCATTTGTGCGTGCGCAGGGGGGGTGGGAGTGCTTTTAATTTTTGTTATTACTATTTTTATTTTTTTATTACTATTTTTATTTTTTTTTATTCAAAGAAATTTTTTTACACGTTTAGAGGGGTAAAAAAATGGGATAACTTTGGGCAGTGACAGGTACTCTTTATGGAGACATCAGGTGTCTTTTGGACTCCCAATGTCTCCCTTGCCTTCCAAAACGGCTAATCGAGCACAGATCATGCTTGATCAGCAACTTCCCTGGCTTTAACAGCCAGGGAATGACAGCTCTGAAAGTGACAAAATCATCATCGCTTCAGGCTTCATTTGTCACAGAGGAGCTTGGGGAATGGATGTTCCTCCATCTCCTTTGTGTGAAAGGATCCCAGTTGTTTACTGTAGGTGGCATTGGGAGATGCGTTGTGGCCCTGTACTGTAAAAGTGATCAGGGAGCTCTATAGAGCTTTTACAAGGCAGCTGATTGCTGGATGCAATAAATAGTACCAAGATCATGGCAGCAGCTTCAGCCATGATCTTGTATTATTATTATTATATAGGATTTATATAGCGCCAACAGTTTGCTCAGCGCTTTACAATATAACGGAAGACAATACAGCAACAATACAGTTCAATATAAGAAGGATAGGAGGGCCTGATCCTGGGAGCTTACAATCTTGTAAAAACCTCTTACTATCAGGATGTGTTTATACGTACATTGCTCAGCAAGGGGTTAAAGTGGCAGTTCAGTCCTTTGTTCTGGATAGAATTTACAATCTAATGTTGCTGCTTCACATGCATATATACATATACCTGGGCCAATTCAGGCAGGAGTCAATTAATCTACCAGCATGATTCTGGAGTGTAGGAGGAAACCAGAGTATCCAAAGGATACCCATGCAGGCACATAGGGAACATGCGAACTTCACGCAGGTAGTGTCCTGGTTGGGATTCTAACCGGCGATTCCAATACTGCAAAGCCCTAAGTCACTGAACTGAACATTATTGGAAAACTTTAAATGCTAAAAAATTTTAACTGAAATTTACTTATGTGTCCCAAAGCATGAGATGCCAACTAGCAGCGAACAAGATGGAGAATAATCTGACACATAGGGTTGTATTTACTAAAACTGGAAAGTGCAAAATCTGGTGCAGATCTGCATGGTAGCCAATCAGTTTCTAAATTCAGCTTGTTCAGTTATGCTTTGACAAGAAAACATGGAAGCTGATTGGTTTCTATGTAAAGTTGCACCAGATTTTCCACTCTCTGGTTTTAGTAAATCAAGCCCATCGGTTCTGATGCTTCCCATTATTCTCTTCACCCAACGGTCATGCAATGTTTGCTCATAGTTATTATAACCATTTTACATCATACATCTACACAAAGACCTTCCCTGTAGATATCAATCTTTAACTACAGACAAAGCAGGAGCATTTGTACTAGAATCTAATGTTAAGTGACTGACAGCGCTGGAAAAGAAGATGCGCCATGGTTTTGAGCTATGTAGGAGGTAGGAAGTAGTAGATTGCGTTCATACAGGCAATAGTTGTAGCATAAGAGGAATGGGATTTGTTATCTGTAAAGGTGTACTTGTTCAGCTATAAAGATATGTTTTAAATGCTAGGTTTAACAATAATTAGGCAACTAAAACATTTTAGTCTGAGAGAACAAAACTACTTGGTTGTCTATTAATACTTGGCAAGTGCCATGAGTAGAGATTTGACTACCATTTTAATTACTAAGTTTGTTTTATATGTATAGTTGAATTTAGTGACTAGAAATGCCGAAAACTTTTTTTCCACAGCAATTTTTTTTACAGCTCTAACTATTAGGCATGTAGGGTTTCAGCTATGTAGGTGTACAATCATTCCTCTTTTAAGGGCACTTACTATTGTTTTGTGAAGTCTACAATCATATGTTATTCTGTAATACAACTCAAGTGGGATTTGCAATAAAATAAACCTGGTCCTCCTAAATTCACCGACAGCTGCATAAGTAGGGAAAATAATGCGTTGTTACTCAACACAGCAGTAACTGAATTTATCTTAACCTCCCCCTGAAATAATTATGCATGGTTATGACTGTAATTAAGATTGTAAGAGAAAGGTGAGGGTTATACAGTTTTCTCATAAGGCCTATGATTTTAAATAATAGGATTTCATTTATGGGTACATGTGGAAAAATGATAGACCTCTCCGGAGAGAATAAAGAGTACACGATTCTTTTAATCTAGAAAAGAATACACGGTTGGGAAAATGCATGTAGATACGAGAAAGTATCTACATGCAGACATTCACCTTCAAAGTCAAAGTGAACAAACGTGTAAGCAGGTGCAGTTAGCTAGTTTAGTTCTGTCCCAAAATAGTGTGTAATAAGGAACTATGTGAGTGTTAGGTCCCCTTTGCGACAAAGCCTTCCTGTATTAATGTAATAGGTTAGTGTAAGTTAGTGTCCATGTATATGCCAGGTTGGGAGGAGACTAGTGCAGTTGGGGCATGGGAGCCAAACACCCCACATATCTGCAGATGTAGTCAGCTACTGCAAATGCCCTGAACAGGACAGAAAGTAAGTAAGGGTGAGATCTACACTCAGAATAGCTCAGAAGCTGCTGTAGTCATATTGGTTCATGAAACATGGTCTAAGTAGACTTGGAACATGGTCTAACTGGACTGGGAGCGGGATGCAAAAGGTCTTTTAGACCAGACCAAGTGTTCTCTGGCATGAGTGATAATCCAGCTGGAGATCCTGGGAGAAGTGCGCAGATCTAGATGTGCAGCTGCAGCAGTCCTGTCTCAGGAACAACATGAAGGGAGTCATGAGCTAGATACATAAAGCCTAATGGGCAGATCAAAGCCCTAAGTACTAGTGAGTACTAATGACCATGGGACTGATAGTGGCATTTGGGAGAAAGAGAGATTGATAAACTATAGCAGGCACCTTGTGAATTTCAGTTTAAATATACAGTGCTACAGATCTTGTATACAAGGAGATGGGTGCCAACACTGTGGTGCTCCCAAGGAGAGGAGAGAAGTAGTAAAGGAAGACGGCTTATCAGTGATGAGCAATATTATTATTATTATTATTATTATACAGGATTTATATAGCGCCAACAGTTTGCTCAGCGCTGTACATTACAATGGGAGACAGAACATGAGACAGTACAGTAACAATACAATTCAATACACGAGGGGTTCGAGGGCCCTGCTCCTTGGAGCTTACAATCTAGGAGGGAGGGATAGTGGTACAGGAACTGTGGGGGATGGAGTGGTAGGAAGAGTGGAGGAGTTCAGTAATTAGCTGAGGGCGGGGTAGGCTTCCCTGAAGAGATGGGTTTTCAGGTACGCCTAAAGGTGAGGAGAGTAGGTGATAGTCTGATGGATTGGGGTAGGGAGTTCCAGAGGATGGGGGAAGCCCTGGAGAAGTCCTGGAGATGGGCATGGGAGGAGGAGACCAGGGAACTAGAGAGTAGGAGGTCTTGTGAGGAGCGGAGAGTACGTTTTGGGTAGTATTTGGATACCAGATCGGTGATGTAGTTTGGGGCAGTATTATGAACAGCTTTATACATCAATGTTAGCA